AAATTGTGTTATGTGGAAAAATTTTATCCCTTAGGAGCTCATCCTAGCCGCAGACATATATGTACACCATTCTGAAAGTATAATCAGTGAACTCGAAATAAAGAAAAGAACGTATCATTTCAATGAAACAATCTTTAATGGTTACTTAATGAAAGCTATCAGTTTTCTTAATAAAAACATGAACAGTTAATGATTATTTACTAACTGATAAAGACCGTGAAGTTATAAATACAAATTCTATAATAAGGAAGTTTAATTATTAGACGGTGTGATTCTATCATATTTCTTGAATAAATGTACACACTTAATATAAACAGCATGATTTCATTTATGATATTTTTCAAGATGCAATCATAAAAGAATACCACATGTTACTAAAAAACTATTATGTTTCCATTAGACTTGCATGTCCTATGATGTAGTACCTCCTTTTTCTTCCTTTTTTTCATTTGTTTGTTTCACTTTTTCCTCTTTAGTAAACTTGCCCTTTATGTATTGTTCTAATTTTCAAATGATTATTGGCTTTTACAAGTTGTTAAAGAAACTATGAAAATACGACTTTCTCACCCTAGGCCCTTAATTATCAAGATCGTATACTATTGTGTTCATGTGTTTGATATAAATAAAATAAAGTTTATCAATTAGTAATTTGACAACACTAATTGCATCTTGCTTTTAATTATCAAGCTTATTTTTCTCAATTTAATTTTCTTTTTCTTTTGTGTGTGATCCTATATTGGGTTTATTCTGGAGTAGAATATGCTTTATATTGTCATCTTCCTTTATGGGGCAAATTAAGAAACAAAGGTAAATAATAATAATTCAATTGGTGCAGTGATTTTATAGGCCAATAAGTATCTTACCTATTCTGCATATATAGATTTTTCTTCATGAATGTAGAATCTGCTTCCTCTTGTCCTTTTCCAAAGAGAAAATAAAATATTATGATAAAGTCCTGCAAAATGTCACATTTTGATAACTTTTATTGTTTGATATTGAAGTGTTGGTACCTGATTCGTCATTAGTGTCTTCGAATTTGTTCAACATTCGGCTTTGTCTACTCAGCTTAATGGAACAAAATCAGGCCCAATGTACAAGGCCCATATATGATCGGGTCCTATAATTATAAAGCTAGAGGACCATGTGAACTTATAAATTACTTGTTCTCGAATATTATCATAAAATATTATATTAATTAAGATATTAAAAAGTACATTAAACATGAATCATTACTAACATATGACTTTGAGGACAAGAGCTATTTATTTGCTAAAATGTGTTAATGAATACAAATAAGTACCATCAAGACATAGCCAAGTGCATTCTCTTGAATAAAAATAATTAAAACTATTACTAAAAGTCAGATTATTAATTAGTTGTGTAAATATCAATTGACCTTTTATAATTAATTACACTTCTTAAAGCAACTTGATGAAGTACTTTTAATTTTTCAAGCATTTGTCAGTCATTCAACCTATGGAATTGTAGTGATAATCAATTCTTAATTGTTAGATAGGTTAGGTTTAACATTATGAAAGGTACAACCATTAGTTTTACTAAGGTTTTGATATTTGTAGTAGTGCATTGAGTGTAGACCTTTTTACTAAGGTTGGGGATTTTTTTTTATTTTTTATTTTTTCTCAAACCTATGTTGGGGCTAAGGAAGGAGTAAAATTACATTTGTTATGTTCGCCAAAGTTCTATTATTTTCCCCTTCAAACCTGGATTGAGGACGATGTACGAGTATGCACTGAAAAAAAAAAAATGTATTTAACTAAACTAATAATGTGTAGTTCATTTAATATGGTTTCTTGATTTATTGATTTTAACATAATTATTCGTTTTTATAATTGTGTTTAATATCTTTATTATTTTTTATTTAATAAATTATGTATGATCCATGTATAAAAAGTCATAAGCTACTCAAACTAAAAAATATAAAAATGGTTTGTGTCTCTAAATTTTGTGTGTGTCAATCTTGATCGTCGTTCATCAAAGTATATCCTCATTCGCTAAGTGGTTGTTGAACCACCACGGTTGAAGCCCGAATAACAAAGATCACCTTGGCAATCAAACATAAAACAAGATACAAGTTTTTATTTTTTACCACCAATCCAAGACATCGAATTAGACTGGCATGATAGGTGATTTGGCCACCTTTTGAGTTCTCAGACCAAGTAGTGGTCGAGCTAAGAAGAAGAAGAAGAAGAAGAAGAAGAAGAAGAAGAAGAAGTAATGCTGATTTTTTTGGAGTCTGATTGTTATTTACCTAAATAAGTCGTGCAACAAAGATTTTGCTTACTCGACAAACAATCATGGGTAGAGGAGTTCACTGAATGTAATAGCATCTACGAGAAGTAAAACTAGATACATAATATTGTAACAAGTGTGGAGTTGGTTGAGCAGTCCACTTTCAAGTATAGACGGATCTAACTATTTAACACACGTACAATTTCATGGTCAATACTATGAGTATTGTGAACATTATTAAATCTAGTGTAAGTAATTAAGTATTTCAAATGCAAAACTAGCAACTGCCCAATGACAAATATTTTCCATATAAAGATTGTCTTGCCAATAATCCGGCCAAATATCACAACAAATAGAAACTCATTGTAGCAAATTTTCAAATATTTGCATCAAAATTAATTTTCTCTCAGCATTTATATTTCGAATATCGCTGATCTGAGTAGTACATGGAACCCGAGTCACAATCGAGTTTAAAGCCATTTGGATCAAATTTTGCATTTAAAATTTTGGTGCAAACCCGTCCAGTTGTTCCTTGTGCCCGAAAACGAAAAATTTATTATATAGCGTCCGAACCGGCCGGAACAAATTTTGGGTCGGGTTCTAGTGTGGGCTTCTGATTCGTTGTCAACGAGCCATCAAAATTTATTATATAGCGCTCAGACCAGTCTGAACAAATCTTTGGCTCGATCCTGGTGCAAGCCTCTGATCCGTTGTCAACGGGCTAAGCTCGACGACCAACAAGCTAAAGGGTCGAGACGGTCCATTGGCCATATCTACATGTTGCGGTTTGCAACTAGTCTACCTAGTTACCATCTATGGATATTTACGCCACCTAAACAGCCAAGATGTTCCTGCAACTACAGAATCTGCTTCTTTTACCATCAACACACCTAAACAACCAAGATGTGATCTGCCTACTTAGGGGTATTTGGAAATAAAATATTTTGGTTTAAATTTGATTTATTAGATACAATGTGTTACTTTTGAATAAAGTTGATTGCATAAAGGATTGAGTTGGATATTGAGTTCCTATTTAAATAATATTTGAAAGTAATGAGTTACTATAATGTAAGGGTCGGTTTGGTTGGCCATATAGGCCTTGATATCCTATAAATTGGTATTATATCCATAAGATTAACATGTTTGGTTGAACATGAAAAAGCCCATGATATATGCGTAGCCCGGTTCTTTTCCCTCATTCCTGGTATTACGCATCCCACATTTGAGGCCGGATACCATATTAAGGCTTGCCTTGTGTGTATGCGTGTGTTCATAGGCTTGATTTCACGCTCCGCAGCTGTCTCCTTGAGCAGGCACATGAGGCCTCCCACTTCATCCCGTCTATGGTCGTCCAAGCCAAGCTTAACGAACACGGTGGCTACAGTATTTATTTTCTTTATCACACTCATCATCAGTTTGCTCTTTATTTATTTATTTTTGTTTTTTTCAACAATTCCAGCTGCCCTGTTATTACTAGACAATTGTGTTTATTGGGCTTGATATATATATATATATATATATATATATATATATATGGACTTAGTGATGCAATATTACTCGTTTTAATACTTGTCACTCAAGCTCTAGAGTTGGTTTTAGCCAAAGCCATGAGAATCACCAAGGAACAAGATGGAGAAGGTTAGTCTGCACAGGATATTATTGTTGACTTATGATTTTGAAAATGGAATTTTCTTATGATCACATATCTCTCGTGATTAACTTGCGGTGCCTTCTATTGTTTAGGTACAAAGACTGTTGGAGTAATTAGCAAGATAGATCAAGAATCTTCATAACCAAAAGTTCTTGTTGTTGTGCAAGCTCATTTATTAATTCAAGGACCTAGAATTACATCTGACATCCCATGGTCTGTCGAAAAGACATTTTTGGAATCACATCTCAATTTCTGTTGTTTTGATGAATGACATGCGTCATATTTACGTGCATTTTGTAGTGATTTTCGTGTCCATTTCGTCGTAGTTTGATATATAACTAATTATTATATAATTAATTATTGTTTAACTAATTATTTATTTAATTAATATTATTAAGCTATGACGAAGGTGTTTTATTTGAGTTTTAACAGGAATTGGGGTCGATATAATTTTGGAGTCGAAAACGGCGTGAAACGGACAAAGATAGCATGGTCATGCATTGGGACAAGCCCAATTACACAGCCCGTTTAAAACGTCTAATTGTATCAAAACTCGTTTAAAAACACTTCTCAAATGGACTTTTAGATGCAAAGATTCATTTGGATAAATAATTCATGTATTGTGTTAAACTAAGAATGAACTTATAAGGTAAGTTGTTTATCCAAAAATTTTATTCTATAGAAATAAATTATGAAGACTTTTAAGAAGTCCATTTTAAATAAAACCATTTAAGAAATAGACGTTTACAAAAAAAAAAAATGTTCACACATAAATATGCGCGTGTCTTGAACAAGTGCATGAACTAAAAATCCAAGAGCCACCTAACCCAAATTTTTAACCGTTGTCAGACAAATCCACTCAACAGTTTAAAGGACAAGAATAAACACAAACAAATAAAATCATATTTTTCAGGATTGAATTTGTTGATTCTTTGTTAATGCAGAGCCCGTTCCAAAGTAGTATTTTTATTTACTTTCACCTACCAAAAATACATTAGAAAAATATGACCCAACGAAAAACATTATCCCAGTCACCACTTATTGAACAAAATACATGGCACAATAGCTTCAAATAAATATAAAAAAACATAAACTTTCACTTGTATAAAAGTCAGCATAACATGGGAACAATAATTTGACAAATCCCATACGGAACCTAAAACTGAGAATAATACTTAAAAATGGGCCACAAAACGATTTTCTGGCGTGCAATAGCGATCATCAATCATCATCATCACCATTCACAAAACGCCATAAAATAAAATCACAAGAAAAATAAATAAATATAATAAAATTCGATACTCCATATCTTTGCCCATATTTACAAAAGGGTCTTTCCGACACTACAAAACATGATGACTCGATGCCAACTACATAAAGATACGCAAACATATATATTCCTTTTGTACAAATTTTCCCTTCAACTCACACAAGCATCCTAAAGATCACCAAAATCCCAAAAACAACCCCAAAACTTACACAAATTACCATACAAAGCCCCCCAACTCCTCTCAACTCTTTACTTACACCATTACAAAGAGAGGGAGGCCCCTTTTTGCCTCTCATCAAAATTATTCCTCAAGTCAACAAACTTTACCACAGAACCTCATTTTCTCAATTACTTCACATCAGGCTCACTTTTTTCTTCTCCTTTAATTACAGACACACACTCAAATTAAAACGAAAAACAAACTCATTAGACCTCAATTATCATATAATAATAATAATATTATATATGTATATGCACAACTAGACAAAACACGATCAACGGTCAAGATCAACTCATCTCGTTCGATTTCCAAAATTCGCACGATCCTCAGGCAAGAGCAGGGATGCTACAGCCGCGCCTGTCTCGGTCAAGACAGTCGAAGCCCTCAATCCTGACAGCTGGATTGTTCCCAAAATTTGCACGGACACAGCTATTGGTCTTGCGGGCCGAGGATGAGGGAGAATGGGCCGGGCTTGATGGTGTGAGGATTGCGCGTGGAGAGATGGGTGTGAATTTCTCGTCACCAAATCGAGAGTCTTGAATTAGTGGGTTAGAAACTCTGCTCGGCGGAGACCCGCAAAAAAAAGGGGGCGACGAGGCTATTGGTGTGGCCGATTGATCGATGCCACAATTAGTAGTGCCCTGNAATTAATATGAATTGGTTTTGGTTTAAAGTGGATTGATTTGATTTTGTTTATCATATTTGGATAGATAATAACATCAAAATTAATCTTGTTTAAGGAAAATCAAGACAACAAGTTACGCTTGCGGTCGGCTAGAAACAATTAGGGTTGCGTTTTACGCAATCATTTTTTTATTTTTAGCTTTGTTTGGTTAGGGGATTTAAGGTATTTCAAAAAAACACAGATTGTATTAGCGATAGTGACTTATTGAGATTTGTAGAGGAAGTCCATGGATTCAATTTGTGCAAACCATCAAGTAATTGAATTATTGTTCCAAATTAAGAGGGTGGAAAAGGAAATTTATTTTAAAAACATATACTATCTTAAATGATGACACTAATTTGAAATTAAAAGAAAAAAGAGGAAATCCATGGATTCAATTTGTGCAAACCATCAAGTAAATGAATTATTATCCTAAAATTAAGAGGGTGGAAAAGGAAATTTATTTTAAAGACATATATTATCTTAAATGATGAGACTAA